TTGTGAGTTCAATGGCATGACAGAGCAGAGGCAAAGAGGTGTACAATCAATTCTCGTGGTATTAAGTCAAAAAGGTCAGAGCTTCCACAGCATGGCAACAGCTTTGCAGATGCCCACATCATGATAGTTGAAATAACACAGCCCAGCAAAGGTTAAAGCTGACAGGGCCAAAACTCCTGCCTTGGCGGTTTTCTGCAAAGCATCTCCGTGAACGTAGTCAGTAACCACTTGTCCAAGGCCCCTAAAGAAAAAAATAACAGTACAAAAGAAAGCCAAACAGCTAACTTGACTGCGAAACAATAATTATCAGGTTCAAAGTACAACTCAAGGTCATAGAATCATAAACCAAAATGAAGGAATCAAGAGTTTCCCAGTAATATAATAAAGACATCTCTATTCTTCAGATTCAATTTTCCAGAGTTACTTCTATCAAAGACAGTAGTTAACTGCCACTCTATATACAAAATCTTGGTTGTTGTTTGTTTGTTTAATTAAAACAAATGCTCCAGGGGCACCGGCCTAGGTCAGTCGGAGAAGCATGTGACTCTTTGATCACAGGGTAGTAAGTTCAAGTCCCACACTGGGTGTAGAGATTAATAATAAATAAATAAATAAACAAACAAACTTTAAAACAAATGCTCTATAGAATTTTTCATTAATTAAAAAAAAATTTATGAAGCAGATATTATGTGCCAGAACCTGTTATAGATGTTGAAAGAACAGCAAATAAGACAGCATCTTTGCCTTTATGGAACAGATTCTAGTGAAGGAGAAAATAAATATGTATGTGCTATGAGAAAATATTTTAGAAAGGATGACCTGAATGAGAAGAACGTTCTAAACAGAAGTGACAATGACCTTGGCATCTTTGAGGAATAGTAAAAAGATTAGTGTGACTGGAGGACCAGATCATAACGGAAAGGCAGATCACACAGGGCCCTGAAGGTCATAATAAAAGTTTATTATTTCAGGGGTGACTGGCTGGCTCAGCCCATGGAGCACATGACTCTTGATCTCGGGGTTGTGAGTTTGACCCTCACATAGGGTACAGAGATTACTTAAAAATAAAAATCTTAAAAAAAAAGTCTGAATTTCATATGAAATGTAATGGGACACCACAGACATGTTTTTAAGTAGGGAGTAACCTAAGTAAGGAGTGACCTAATTTTACTTTTTTTTAATTTATTTTTTTATTTTTTTTATTATTTTTTTAACGTTTATTTATTTTGAGACAGAGACACACAGAGCATGAATGGGGAGGGTCAGAGAGAGAGAGGGAGACACAGAATCTGAAACAGCACAGAGCCTGACGCGGGGCTCAAACTCAGAGACTGCGAGATCACGACCTGAGCCAAAGTCGGACGCTCAACCGACTGAGCCACCCAGACGCCCCTAATTTTACTTTTTTAATAACAGCTTTAGTGAGATATAATTCACATACCATAAAATTAACACTTTTTAAAGTGAGCAAGCACTATGCCCAATGTGGAGCTTGAACTCACGACCCTGACATCAGGTACCAGGCTCTACCCACTGCCCCAGCCAGGCAACCCCATAAAATTAACCCTTTTTCAAGTGTACACTTCACTGGTTTGTAGTGTATTCACAAAGTTGTGCAACATCATCACTATTTAATTCTCATCACCCCAAAAAGAAACCCTGCATCCATGAGCTCATTATTCAACAACTAACTTGTTTTCTATTTCTATCTACAGACTTGCCTATTCTATACATTTTATATAAATGAAATCATACAACATGTGGCCTTTTGTGTCAAGTTTCTTTCACTTCACATTTTCAAGGTTCATCAACATTGTGGCACGTACTTGGATTGTTTTTGCTTTTTGGTTATTGTAAATTACACTGTATGAATATTACTATTCAAGTTTTTGTGTGAGGATATGTTTTCAATTTTGAGGGGTGTACACATAAAAGTGGAATCGATGAGTTATATGGTGACTCTAACTTTTTGTTAGAACTGCCAAACTGTTTTCCAAAGCGGCTCCAACTTCTTAAATTCCCAGCAGACATAGGAGGACTCCCAAATTCTCCACATCCTTGAAACACTTGTCATCGCCCATTTTTTTGATTAGAGCCATCCTATTAAGTATGAAGTGGCAGCTCATTGTGGTTGTGATTTGCATTTCTCTCATAAAAAATGGTGTTGAGCATTTTTTCATGTTGCTTATGAGCCATTTGTGTATCTCCTATAAAGAAATGTAATTTTTCTTTTAAAAAAGACCACCTTGGCTGCAGTATGGTGAATGGAGAGTGCAGGTAGCAGAAGAGGGGGCAAGAACAGAAACAGAAAACCAGTTAGGAGGCAAATAAAGTAGCCTCAGCAAGATTGTTGGCTCAACCTAGGCTGGTGACGGGGGAGATGGTGTGAAGTGACAATTTAGACAGGCTATGTTTTGAAGAGGGAACAAACAGAAAGAGCTGATGGACTGGATGTGGGATAAGACAAAAAGAAGTATCTGCAATAACTCCTAGGATTTTTGGCTTGAGCAACTATGATTTAATTGAGTTAGGGAAGAACAGGAAACGAGGCAGCTTTAAGGGAAAATCAAGAGAGATTTGGGGCGGACAAGAGTGGCTTTTGGCAATGTTAAATTTGAGGTGACTATTACACATTCAAATGGACTCCACTGGTTAGACAAGTGGAATCACAGGACTGCAGATCAAGAAGAGGTCAGATCTGAGCTCGCCTCAGGAAATTAGAGAAATTAAGAAAGGAAAACTGAGCCCAGGATTCAGGGCTTTCTCGTTCACACGTCAGACAAGGGGAGAAGCTGGCATCAGAGACTGAGAAGGTGCAGCTAGTGAGGTGGAGGAAAATGGTGGGCACAGGGTCTACAGAGCCAAAAATAATTATTTAAGGAGGGGATGGCCAATTAAGTTGAACGGTGCTGAGAGTTCAAGTAAGAGGAAGACCGAGAACAGACAGATAGATTTGGAAAAATGAAGGTTTTGGGGGATATTGGTAAGAATTACTTCAGTTATGTAGTTAGGATAAAAGCCCAATTAATGTGGATTAAAAGAGAATGGATGCTGAGGAATTAATGCACAATTATAGACATTCTTTTAAGTCATCCTGTGTGTATGTGTGTGTGTGTGAGAGAGAGAGAGAGAGAGAGAGAAAGAGAGAGAGAGAGAGAAGGAAGAATTAGTAAGGTAACTGAAGAATAGAATAAAAAATATATATAAATATATTACGTTAGAATTCTTAATCTGACTTTTCGTTGATTTAGATGGATCTCCTGCCAAGAACCACATATTAGAGAAATAATACTGTACTTGTGATCTAATATTTCATATGCAATGGAATCCTGTATTTTGAAAGGTCTGTAGATTAAAGGGTAATTCCCCTGACCAACCCTAGAAAATTAGGTAAGCAAAATCCCTTGTAATACTAATCTACAAAATCATTCTGATAGATCACTTAACCTTCCCCGGGGTTTAGTGTCCACATCTGTAAAATAACAGGGTTGGTTAAGATATTCCCAAGTCCTTTCAGTTCTAACAACCTAAAAATGCTTCCCCTGCCCACAATATCATGTTGTCCTTATAAAACAACATAAAATGAACTCAAAGATCCCAACTGTTATTTACAAACTTTTCAGAGGGTTCATTAACTTAGAAAGTCTAACAAACTACACTGGATAAAATAAATAGAAGCTGGGAATTCACTCATTCAATAAGTATTTACTTAGTGCGTGTCAGGGACTGCTCTAGGCATTAAATATATATAACAACAAACAAAAACAGCTAAAAGTCTGTTTTCTTTTTTTAAAATGGGCAACCCTTAACTACCGTGTCTAAGGATGCACAACTGAGTGATAAAACCACACTAAAATGTAAGGGAGTGATTACTATAAAAACCAGGATAATGGTTCCTGGTTGGGAGGATGCTGAACAGTTATGACTAAGGTAGAACACAAGGAAGAAGCTTCCGGAGTAGGTGGCAATGTTCAATTTCTTGACCTGGGCAGCATTACCCTTGCAATAATTCATTAAGCCATGGATGTGATTCTTGTAATTTTCTGTATCAGTGCTTTCATTCTAATGAGGGGAAACAAGGAATACACAAAATGATAAATACATGATACAGTATAGTAGAAGGTAATAAGCACTACTGAGAAAAATAAAACAGGGGAGAGGGATAAGACATACTGGGAAGGACACTATAACTGTGAATAAGTGGTTAGAGAAGGCTTCATTGAGAAGGTGACAGTTCAGATGTGAAGGAAATGAGGAATAAGCCATGTAACTAGAGAAAGAGAGTGTCAGGCAGAAGCAAAGTAGAGTCTTGAGGCCTGGAGTGTCCCTGGAGTGTCCAAGAATTATCATGAGCGCTGGTGTGAATGACAGAGAGAGTAGCTGGAAATTCGGGAAGAAAGAGAGCCAGACTACCTTGGGTCGGTAGACCATCATGAGAATTCTGACTTTTAGCCTGAGGAAGGTTAAAAGACTGCAAAGTGTTTTGAGAAGGAGAATGTCTTCATCTGACTTAATATTTTAAAAGGATCACTGAGACTGCTGTGTTGGGAACAGACAGAAGGAGGACCAGTTAGGTGACTACTACTGAAACCAAAGATGATGACCAGGTTTGAGGCATGCACAATTAGAAGAGTGCAAATGCGATTAATTCAGATCGGCAAGAGTGCTAGAGGAAGAGATCTGGGGAGTCGATGAACTCAGTTTTATAACATGCTATATTCAAAATGCCTATTAGACATGGAAGAGAAGACATCAAACAGGCAGGCAGATACACAAATCTGGGCATACAGATACTTTATAGGTTTTAAAGTTGTCTACAGGTCTGAGTATCTCAATCAACTTCTCCCTCATCTGCAGTAACGGGACAAGCTCATGGCAAATAAATTTAGCAACGTAACACTGAAGGGTCTGCTGTACTTGCCAGTGACTATGGAGCGTGAGGGCTGCAGCCAAGGAGTAGTCCATCGCAGAGCTGGGATTCAAATAAGCAGCTGGAATTAGGCCCAGGAGCAAAACACTGACCACCCTCTCACCAGTCCAGTGGAGAGATGAAGCCTTGGAACCAGCTATAAAAAGGAGGGACCAGATTTGTAAGAGTTGAAAGGGGAAAACACACATACCTCACATTCAGTATTTGCCACAAAATAACCCAGCTGACAGAATGGCAAATAGTATGCATATGAGACTTAACTGAGCAGAAAGAGAGTAAGATAAAGAAGACAAATGAGAAAGATGCTATCTCCCTTCTTTGATGCTCTTTAGCTCGAGGTGTCACAGTGCCTATTTAAATGCATTAGAAGACTGATCCAATTTGCTGACAGGCCAGAAGATGGATGAACTACCTTTGCAGAACCACCAACCTTGGGCTTTAGTGTAATGGACAGATTCTTTACGAATGTAAGTTAATACCAGCAGAGGAATTCTTTTAAAACATTACTCTTTTATTTACACATTCTAATTTTTAGAATTTGAAGGTAATACTAAAAATCCTCCCCCCAAAAAAACCAAACCAGCCAATTCAAAAAGTTCTGATGTGAACTTTTACGATTATGGTCCTTCTTCTGTCCCATTACTTATAAATAGTCCAAAACAGGTATGAACATGAACATGAAAACTTCTTTTAAATAAGTGAAAAACAAAATGGGCTTTAAACATTTCTTCGGGAGCCTCTATCTTTTTTGGTTACAGATCTCTTTGGGATTCTAATAAAAGGACAGATATTCCCCAGAAAAATGTACATGGACGCATACATTAAAAACCATGTTTAAAACTTCAAGGGCTTGCTTTCAGTCCCATGCACTTTAAATTAAAACCACTCTGCTAAATTTAACTGAACTAAACAAAGGAATGCAGAAACAAAGAATTTTCCAAGACAAAATAACTCTAAAAAGCAGAAAAACTATACCTGCCTAATTTCTCATAATTCAGATGCAACTGTACATAAGTTATTGACTTAAGAATCAAGAGGAATCTTTATCTCTATAAAATACAGATCTTTCCAGACTCTAAAACTGGAAATAATAGTTAACTTACTATTCACTTACAGGTTTTCCATAATATTCACCCCAAAAATGCCATGTGATTTTAGTGTCAACCTAAATAAAAATAATTCAGTTAACAGCTATAAATATGTATGACCTTTTAAATTGTCTACTATTCTAAATTACTTGTATATGGTTCCTCTCTATCAGCTAAATAAGAGTGAGTATATTTTTTTTTTAATTTTTTTTTTCAACGTTTATTTATTTTTTTTTGGGACAGAGAGAGACAGAGCATGAACGGGGGAGGGGCAGAGAGGGAGACACAGAATCGGAAACAGGCTCCAGGCTCTGAGCCATCAGCCCAGAGCCTGACGCGGGGCTCGAACTCACGGACCGCGAGATCGTGACCTGGCTGAAGTCGGACGCTTAACCGACTGCGCCACCCAGGCGCCCCAAGAGTGAGTATATTTTATAGACCCTTCCTACAAAACTATTTCCTTTAAAAAAATTGAAATTTTCATAGACTTAGACCAGAAGGGTTCTCTTTCAGTGTAAATGGCATCCTTCAACCATTGTGGCATTGTCTGCCCCAAGGTGCAGGCTAAACAGGTCTTCATCTGACAGAGTTGGACATAAGAATTCCACTCCACAGATAGCAAGTCCTGCCAAAGGCATGAAAATTACCCAAGACAAAGATGAAAAGAGCCCAAAAAGCAGCAGCAATGAAAGAAAAAAAAAAAACATACCATGGTGGTTGGGTGACAGGTGAATGTGCTGTGTTCTACACTGTCCTGGGGTAGGTTGGTCCTGGAGAAATGCTGAGACATAAGCAGGTCTGACTACTGGAATTCGGAGAAACAGAGCTGAGGAAAGAGATATAAGGGAGGTCATAAACATTTCTCCTTTAACAGGAATAACAGACTTTCTAAATGACCATAAGCAAGCTATTTACTCCAAACAGGGGATAACAACTCATTTGTAAAATGAGGACAGTATATATTTCCCTGGATTACTATGAAGTCAGACTAAGTAGCCATTGAAAGATTGAAAAATCAATGAACCACTTATGTAAAAGGGCTTCACTCTTACCAATTTTATAAAGTAAATTATAGGGCACCTGTGTGGCTCAGTTGGTTGAGGGTCTGACTCTTGATTTTGACTCAGGTCATGATCTCACGATTCATGGGTTCTAGCCCCATATGGGGCTCTGTTCTAGCAGTGTGGAGCCTGCTTGCTCTCTCTCTCTCTCTCTCTCTCTCTCCCCCCTCACCTGCTCGCATGCGCACTCTCTCTCAAAATAAACTTTAAATAAATAAATAAATAAATAAATAAATAAATAGTAAATTATAGTTCCTTTCTCTTTCCATTTATTCATCTGTTCATCCACCAAACATTTACTGCAGGTAAAAGCATGCTCTTCATTGGAGCAAGAGACAAGACAGTCTTTGTCCTCAAGGAATTCAGTCTCATTGAGGAAGTACATCTATTACCATCTTCCTTTTCAAGATCCGTTTCTCTACTTGTACTCTTTTTTAATTTTTTTAAATGTTTTATTTATTTTAAGAGAGAGAGAGGCAGAGAGGAGGGGGGACAGAGAATCCCAAGCAGGGTCTGTGCCCTCAGCAAAGAGCTCAACGTGGGCCTGAACTCACTAACGAGATCATGACCTGAGCCTAAATTGGACGCTTAACCGACTGAGCCACTCAGGCACCCCTACACTTGTACTCTTGAACCTATCCCGTTCTGTCCCCTTTTTGATCCTGTCTCTTGGTTAAAAACTAGACCTAGTTCATGCAATGCCACCACTTACTAGCTGTGAGGTGATGAGCAATTAAGTTAAACAGCCTCTCTAAGTCTAAATGTCCTTATCTGTAAAATGAAAATAGTAGCACTTACTTCATAATACTCCACTGAAAATTAATATATGAAAGGTGCTTAGCATAATTCCCAGAATGTCATAATTACTCAATAAGAGGTAATTTCTCTCCTGTGTCTTTCACCTCTCCTTCCTTCCTATTGGCCATTTCCAACTATGCTTCTTTATTTTTTTTTAAATATAATTTACTGTCAAGTTAGATAATATACAGAGTATACAGCGCGCTCTTGGTTTCGAGGGTAGATTCTCATGATTCATTGCTTACATCCAACACCCAGTGCTCATCCCAACAAGTGCCCTCCTCAATGCCCATCCCACATTTTCCCCTCCCCCTCCTGCCTCCCCCATCAACCCTCGGTTTGTTCTCTGTAGTGTATCTCAGTTTGTAACTATTTTTTTCCTTCCCTTCCCCCATGGTCCTCTGTTAAGTTTCTCAAGTTCCATATATGAGTGAAAACATATATGTCTTTCTCTGACTGACTGATTTCACTTAGCATAATACCCTCCAGTTCCATCCACACTGTTGCAAATGGCAAAATTTCATTCTTTTTCATTGCCAAGTAGTATTTCATTGTATATATATGCCACTGCTTCTTTATCCATTCATCAGTTGACGGACATTTGGGCTCTTCCCATAATTTGGCTCTTCCAATTATGCTTCTTTAAAGTGTTGGCTAAATCACCTCCACTTATTCACTTCCCTATCATTCTTCAACTCTGAAACTTATTGTCATCCCTACTAAAACTGCTTTAAGTTGCCAATGGTCTCCATGTGATCACATCCAACAAACACCCTTTAGTCTCCACCCTATTGGACCTTTCCTCTCTTCTGTTCTGATGAACTCTTTTCTAGTCCTCCCTTTGATTGTCTGACATCCTATATCAAACTCCTCCTACATTCACTCTTAATGTTTTCCCAACTTTCTATCATCTGCCCATTGCTCTCCTCATGTCTTAAGACCACCCTTGGCCGTTTTGTCCACTCAGCTTATTCTACCCATAAGCTGATGACACCCAATTCTGTATCTGCAACCCTGCTATCTCTCCAGAGTTTCAGAAGTGTGAGTGCCTCCTGGGTCTCTCCCCTGAGATATCCTACATGATCCTCAAACTCACCATGCCAAAAATTACAATCATCCTTCAACTCACTTTCTCAACCAAACTCGTCTTCCATTTGCTTGTTCGCCACTTTATTTACTAACATCCCAGCCACTCTTTAACCTAAACCAAAAATCTGCAAGTCATGTAAAATTTCCCTCCCTAAATTATCAATCACCAAATGATACTGATGTATCTCCTCAACATTTCTTGAGATAATCTGCTCTTTGTTTGTACTACTCCAACAGTGTCCTATCTCATCTCCCTGACGTGTGTCCTAGCCAGTCCCATCTCCTATGATGGCCATCTACCAGTGTTACTCAAGCGATCGATTTAAACTGCAACTCTATGTCAAATCTTTCAATGGTCCCCTTCAGAGCAGGTAAATGCACACTCCTTATCAAGACAAGTTCTTCCATGATTTGATTCCAGCTCACCTTTCCAGATTCATCTCTCATTCCTCACCTTCAGTTTCATGCACTAATATCTAGTTTATTTACTCTCCTACTTCACATTCCTACACCTTCATCATTACTTTAGCTCATTCCAGTAGCTCCAACTGTAATGTCCTTCGTCCTGTGGCCTTCCTTATCCTCAAGACTCAAATAGGACACACTTCCTTCAGGAACCAAGAGAGGGTAACCTTTCCAAAACATACAGCTAAATATGTTCTTCCTCTGGACTACCATAATAACTTATGTACAGTACAACAGTTTGTGCTTTATGTTATGCTTACGTGTGTTTTCCGTATAAAAATGAAAACTCTTCGAAAGCAGGAACTATGTTTTATTCACATCTGTATCCCAATCCTACTACAGTGTCTGGTTGAATACAAATGCCCAGTTGAATGATTATCAAGTTGATCTCCCGACCCCTATGCCAACTCCGGGTAAATGGGCAAGACCAGGCATTGGCACTTAGAGCCTAACACACTTTTCCAATGCAGGATGGGTGCATTCTACGGACATTGTATGGGGAGAAAATACAGAACTCTTATGAATAGCTTCAGTAGGACCGTAACTTCCAGGAGCTCTCTTTCAGATTATCCATCCCCACGTCAGCCCTGAGCGGGAGTGATAACGCGCTCGGGAGAACGTCTGGGCGCGTAGGCAACAGGGATTACCGCCATGGTTTCGACAGAAGCCAGACGGGCAAACGGAATGGAGGGATTCCTGCTCAAGAGGCCTCGTCGCCTGGAGGCAAATCCTCACCGCACTCCCTTCCCTGGCTGGAGACTGTATTAAGAACCTCCGGCTGCCAGGACCCCTCACCTCGGCCTCCTTGCGCACCACACAGGACACCCAGCCGCCAGAGATTCGCCATCTTTCTCCCGAAGGTTCAAGGTCACCCAGCAACCCGGAAGCAGTCACTCGATTACTCCCACCCCTCGACAACGAAAGAAAACAAGAAACAGGAAAATGCCTGATGAACCGGAAGTCGGGAGCTGGCGCGCGTCCGCCGCGCATGCGCACACACGCTCGTAAGAAGGCCGGGAGTTCGAGGTGGACGATGGCGGAGCTGGGTGAGGCGGACGAAGCGGAGTTGCAGCGCCTGGTGGCAGCCGAACAGCAGAAAGCGCAGTTCACGGCACAGGTGCGAGGACAAGGACCGCGGTGGAGAGAAAGGAGGCTGAGGCTCAGGTTGACTTTTCAGGCTCTTTACTCAGCCCGCGAAGTGACTGCCGCTAGAAAAAAACTAGCAGAGCTCTGCCACCTCGCTACGGGGAGGCTGCCCAATGCTCGTTCTTGCTGCGCCCGGTTCTTCTCGGAAAAGAAATGAGCATGGCCCTCCAGGCCCTGGTGACCAGTAGTGCTCGGGTGCCTGTTCGGCAAACCCGGCGTGGGGGAAAGAATAAATGTAAAGCAGAGGAGAAAGGTCGGGCGACGCCAAGGTCACCGGAAACTAGTTTGGCGGCGAGCTCTCTGGGCTTGGCATTCGGAAGGTCTGGGTTCTGATCCTGCCTCTGCCCCTTACAGGCCACGTACCTCTAGGCAAGACACCCACCCATATGGGTCCTGGTTTTGCAGTCGCCTGCTGCCTCACTGGATTGTAGAGACCATATGCGATAACGTATTTGAAAACGACAAAGTAGTAGAACATTAATGGAGAAAGGTGGACTCTGAAGTAGTCAGTGTGGACTGTAGTTTAGAACAAGTGTTTTGGAGCTCTTTCGCCACCGTTTGAAACCCGGCCTGGTCGCTTACTAGCAGCAGGACCACTCCCAGTATGGCTTCTTGCTTAACCACGTCTCAGACTGAGAGGACAGTCACACTTTAGGACCGCAGACAGTATTGACTGAGTACTCAGCATCCCAAAAAGGACGCCCTCAGTAAATGGTTAAAGAACTGCTCTGTAAGGGATAGATTTGGAGTGAGATGAATGCAGTGGTTTGGGGGACATTCATTGGTACCATACCTTTCCAGCTTACACTGGAGCTAATTGGGAAGATAAAAGATACTCACCCTGCCTGAAAATTTACAATCTGATTAAGGACTTAACACAGTTGTAAAAAATAGACCGTGGCCTTCAAGGAGGTAAAAATTTGAACTGTGTTGAAGAATGGGAAAAATCTTCAGGGAGGGCATTCCAGGAATATTAAGGGTCGAGTATGCTATGCATGTACTTCATGGAAGCACAACAGGTTAGTGGTTAAATAAGGGAGTGCCCTGAGTGGCTGAGAGGAACTGATGCATTAAGCAAACACAGGGGTGACGTGATGGAAAGTAATTTTTAATCACTAAAGAGAAAAAGAGTAATGGAGAGAATAAAGGATTATTGCAACGTAAGGACAAGGATCTGGGCCATACTGGTGACAAGTTATGAAGTGAGGAAAGAGGGGAGCCCATGGTTTGTTGATTGAATGATTCCATCAGGTGATAGAAAATGAGAAGAATGGGAAGGAAATAAAGTTGGCAGAGTTAGACCTATATGCAGACATCAGTGGTTATTTTCTTTCTTCTTAGGTGCATCACTTCATGGAGCTATGCTGGGATAAATGTGTGGAGAAGCCAGGGAATCGCCTAGACTCTCGCACTGAAAACTGCCTCTCTAGCTGTGTGGACCGCTTCATTGACACTACTCTTGCTATCACCAGTCGCTTTGCCCAGATTGTACAGAAAGGAGGGCAATAGGCCATCCCTTGGGAGAATGACAGAAGAAACAAAGGACTTGTTAGAGCAGATTGATGGGCCACTGGGGGAAGGTCGGCAGCCCATTGTCAGGTGAACTTGAGGCTGTTACCAAGCCTGTTGGTGCTAAAAAGTCACAGATCAAATGTTCAAAAAGTGAAATTTATTTATTTGGAATTCAGAAATTCCATGTTGTATCACAACAGTTGCTCAATAAATGTGAATTCTCCAACTCTTTTTTTTTTTAACCCCATTTTAGGATTTAATATAGAGATCTCTGATGGGCAGGAACACTAGAAACAAGTGTGTTCCAAGACCAGTAGTGCAAATGAGATCTTGGGTTTTGAAGGGCCATCCTAAACCACTAATTAAGGGGGCTAGAAGAACCATCAAAACCTTAGCCTAAGGTATAGAAGAGAAATTGGGGTTGAGAAGGGTGAAGAACAGAAAACAGCTTTATTGCTTATACATGACCAAGAAAAGGTAAACATGGCAAAAAAAAACAAAACAGGCAAGATGTGTATTCTTGGGATAGAAATAGGCCTGCTAGTATGGGAGAAAGGGAAGGTCAAGCCCAAAACAGAACCAACTTCCTGGAGATGCCTTGTTCCACTGGCCCATCTTCCTGAGTCTGTGCTAAAATCAATAATTTTACAGCACAGAAACAATGCTTCAAAAAAATACATGAAGACTCCTTCCAACAAAGATTTCACTTACTTCAAGAACAAAACAATTGCTTTAGGTTAAGAGGTAGTAATTACAGACGTCCTGCCCTCCCACCTGTGGGCCCCCACTAATCCCAAAGGTAAAAATATACGCCATGGAACAATGACAGTTGAGTACCAAAGTATTAATATTTCAAGTAAATATCCTCAAAGGTAGCACCTGCTTATAATCAAGGGATGAGAACCTCTAGCCAACGAATGTATTTTGTGACTAAGCACTTTATTAGAAATCTGTTCTGGAAAGAACAAATTTAGTAGTTAGAACCACAAAGTATTACCACCTCATGGAATGTTGTTATAGTTCTATTCTATTGCTGGTGTCTTAACACTGTCATGCTACCATGAAGTATTTCTGTATTCTACATGGGGAAGGTAAGGCCAGGAAGGTTAACTTACCTGTTCAGACCTCATAACTAGTTAGTGGCAGAACCAAGACCAAAAGTCTGGGTTTTCAAGTTTTCTACTCAGCCGATGAAGTGACAACCAGGAAAAACAATGTCACTTGACATTCCGTGATAATGAAAAAACTCACCTGTGTTCTACCAGCTTTTTTTCAGTGATATTTTGTTTTTTTTAAGAATTAACAGTAGGGATCACAGTATAGAGCAAAGGGAAATAATACGGTCTCTGCTTGGTGCTTTAATCAGAAGGCTGACTGGGAAGAAGTGGGTGCATCCCTGAGAAGCCTGTTTCATTTTGGAACTGATTCAACATAACTTCAGGGAAACTCTAAAGTTCATTAATAGATTTAGAAATGAACAAGGAAGATAACATTTAAATGGCAGTTGCAACCCTGAATCCTGTTCAGAGCACCATTAAACAGCATGACCAATTCCTAACTTTATCCCATTTGGTTGAGGATTAAGAAAACCGAAGAAAGAATTTTGAACACAAGGCCATTTAGGCAATAGACAACAAAGGAAGTAGAAAACCATTTACTATCCAATTACCATGTTTAGGGGTATACTGAGTGTAGCCACAGACCCTGTCCAGCAGAGAAATTTGACCAAAAAACCCTAGTCTCATAACAGCGGTCTATGGATGTTACGAAGGAAAAATATCTTGTTCTTATACATTTTTTCTCATTAAATAAACTGGACCATATCTAAGGGGCCAAATACAGAAAGATCAAAGCACCAAGGCTGAAGACACAAAAAGTTAAGTCCTGGCACCTGCTATATAAAGACAGCAACACGATGTTCCCTTACAGCATTCTACACAGCACCAGTTCCAATCCACCTCTCGATCCCAACCCTTGCCCTTCCCCAGATTCAACATTCCAATTGGTGTACCCAGGTCATTAGTGGGTTCAGCTTTCTGGGTCCTTTAATTTGCTGTATATGCACTCTACCCTAAATGTGATTAATTGCAAAAAATAATCTCTTCGAGAAAACTTCATAACAAAATACCAGATTCCCTATTAACAGTAAGAGGATCAAGTTTAACAGGCCAAAACAAGACAAGTCTGTCAGAACATATATAGATGGCACAGGACAGCTCTGACCTCAGGGCCCCTGTGCTGGGCAATAGAGTCACTGGCAAAACCCCAAGGTGACAGAGCTGCAAGTAACCAGTCAGATGGGCAAATGAAGAATGTTTCTTTCTCATTTAGTCATCCTCGGAACTCTCTGCAGACCTTTCATCTGTAGCCACTTTCCAATTTGTGCGTTTGTTTGTCCTCTCCTGTATTTCATTGTTAACTACAGGGATATGGACTTTTTTCTCTCTCTTTTTCCTTTTGGTTTTCTTAGTGTCTCTTTCCTCGCCTTCCTCAGAACTGCTGGATGCGGAATCATCGGACTGGGAAGTATCACTTTCTGCATCCAAGAATAAAGCAGGTTTCTTGAGCGACTTTTTCCTGGATTTTTTCTTGCGCTTATGTGGCTGTTTCCTTTTCCCGGTACTAGAAGCCCCCATTTCTTCTGAAAACTCGCTTGAGGAATCTGCTGTTACATCTGTGGCTTCCTTTTTGCTTTTCTTCTGTTTTTTGTGTGACTTTTTTTTCTGCTTTTTTTTGTGGGATTTCTTTGACTTCTTGTGTTTGTGAGACTCGTGGGTAGATGATTTTACTTGGGGAGATGTTTTTTTTCCATTGGTAATATCTTGCTGGTCACTACTAATAAAAAAGAGAAACTGCTTTACTATAGGAAATAAAAAGTCTATTAATATTTTAGTATTCTACACTCTAGATAGAAAGTTGGGGTTAACATCTGAATTTTAAATAAGAGCTTTGACATAGGGTTACTATGAGACTATCACTCTTTTTGTTTTCTCATTTTGTTTTCTTAAAGATAAATTCTCATCTGTCACCTTGAGTTACTGTATGGAATACTATGTAGAAGAACCTAAATGCTATGTATATGCAGAACATCAATCAGGAAACGGCAAAATACCAAGTATCTCCAAACTAAATTGCCTATTATCTTCTGGTTACATTTTTAATGGCAAATGTTATCTCCTTTATAAAATTAGGAACCCACGGCACCTGGGTGGCTCAGTTGGTTAAGTATCCGACTTGGTTCAGGTCATGATCTCACGGTCCGTGAGTTCAAGCCCCGAGTGGGGCTCTGTGCGGACAGCTCAGAGCCTGGAGCCTGCTTCAGATTCTGTGTCTCCCTCTCTCTCTACCCTTCCCCTGCTAATGCTCTGTCTCTCTGTCTCAAAAATAAATAAAAAACATTTTTAAAATAAATAAATAAAATTAGGAACCCAATTTATAGTTCAGATTTGGAATAGTATTACTTGGTATTGGTTCACTTGGTTTCTAACTTTTTCAGTAAGCCTATTTGCCTTACCTGTCTGTTTCAAATTCTTCAGGGTATAACTCTTTGTAACCGCTGTGACCCCATCTGTAAGATGACACAGATATTATGTGTATTATTAAGGCAATACATACATTTCTTTAAGTTAAAAAAAAATTAGACTTACGAGTGCACGCATAGGCAGGCATACAGAACAAAGAAAACACCATAGAGCCAACCCCATCTTCAAGCTCAGTAACTTAACTGGCTACATTTTCTGTACTGCACACTATCATTTTAGACACAAAGGATTCTTTCGTCCATTTGTAAGAGAACTTGCCATTCTCAAGAACTCTTTTACTCTGCTCTTTAGCTGTGAAATACTTCTCCAAAAACAACTCTTAACATAATGCGGTCTATATTGGGACAATTGTTTTTTACAGAGCAATTTTACTAAAATGTAATTCCTATACCATAAAATTAACTCTTCTGAAGTGTACAATTCAGTGGCTTTTAGTATATTCAGAGTTGTGCAACCGTCACCACTATCTAATTTCAGAACACTCTCATCACCCAAAAAGGAACTCCATCCTCTAGCACTAACTCTCCATTCCTCCCTCTCCTGTAGCCCATGGCAACCACGAATCTACTTTCTGTCTCTATGGATTTGCTGATTCTGGACATACCATATAAATAGAATCATGTAATAAGTGGCCTTTTGTGTCTGGTTTTTTCCACCTGTTTCCAAGCTTCATCCATGTTACAGTATATCAGTACTTTATTCCTTTCACCGTCAAAGAACATCACATTAGTCCCCCCTTATCTACAGTTTTGCTTTCTGGAAGCAGATCGCCCTCCTTCTGTCATATTGTCAGAGGTCAGCAGCAGCCTAACGCTACATCAAAATGCCTACATCATTCCCCTCACTTCATCTCATCACATAGGCATTTTATCATCTCACATCATCACAAGAAGAATGATGAATACAGTATTAATGAAATATTTGACAGACCACATTCACATAAATTTTATTACAGTATATTGTTACAATTGTTCTATTTTTAGTTATTGTAAAGCTCTTACTGTCTCCAATTTAGAAATTAAACTTCATCAGGGGCACCTAGGTGGCTCAGTCGGTTAAGCATCCGACTTCAGCTCAGGTCATGATCTCATGGTGTGTGAGTTTGAGCCTGGGGTCGGGCTCTCTGCTGTCAGCACAGAGCCCATTTCAGATCCTCTGCCCTGCCTCTCTGCCCCTCCCCTGCTCGTGCTCACTCTCTCTCTCAAAAATAAATATTTAAAAACTAGAAAAAGAAATTAACTTTATCATAAGTATGTATGTATAGGAAAAAACATAGTATATATAGGGTTCAGTACTACTGACGGTTTTAGGCAACCACTGGGGATCTCAGAACATATCCTCATGGATAAGGGGGGGGGACTACTGTACCACATTTTGTTTATCCCTTCATCAGCTGACAGACATTTGGGTTTCCACTTTGGGGCCATTATGATAATTATGCTATGAACATTTGTGTGCAAGTTTTTGTAGGGATAATTAATTTTTAAAAGTATATACTCTCAAGTCAGATATCATTAATGGTCACAAGAATTTAGTTACAAACCTGTCTGGCATATTAGCTTCATAATCATATAACTTCTTATTCCAGGATTTAGCCTTAAGAAAGTCATCTTCCAGTGCCCCAGAAATTTCAGTCTTTGGCCTCCAATAGTCTCTTTGACTTTCTTCATCAAAACCATCACTACGCATCCGGCTATAAGGAAAAACAGAAGAACTTTTATATTTGGAAGCAATCTGCAAGGTTCCTTTATGGAATGTCATACACAAAACCCACTGAACAAGCTAAGGGGAAAACAACCACCTGATAATTAGTATTAAAAAAAAAAAAATGTAAAAAGTCATGATCTGTTCTACTGTCTAAGTCTGTACACTTATCCAGGGAAAATCTGACCATTACTACCCATCCTATTGCAGAATACAGACAAAAATGACTTATGGACTATGGCACGCTGTAGCTCGCTCACTGATTCTCAAGTAGGAGGGCATGCAAAGAAGGATGCTGAGAATAATCACAGCTGGTGACAATTTCCAACTACTCTGGAGATTTCAGAATCTCCAAGGAAGGTTTTCCCTTCCTCGAAAACCAGCAACCTTCTGCACTGAGGTCGTAGTAACAGTAGGAACAAGGCCTAACCCATGAGGATGCTGGGGTAGAAAACCAGTTGAGAACTATTGACACAGCCTGTGCTTACAAGGTCCACTAACAAGTCACTCCGCAAGCTAACTAATTATCAAAAATGTTTAAGGGCCGCCTATATGCTAGGCACAGTTCTAGCTGCTAGGAATGTAACAGCAAATGAGATAATCAGAATCCTGCCCCTAAAGAGATTATGATTTAAAGATTTATTAGACCAGGACAGGTATTAATAATTCACTCTAAAAATAGTATTTTGTTCCTGGAAATGCCTCTTGGAATTGAACAAGCAATACAAGACAAACCATCATCTGCACTAACTTCTAAATTCTCAAAGGACCATCTTTAGAAAGGAAACATTTTATCTGCAAATATCTGCAAAGATATTTATTTTTATATTGAGACCATGCCTTCTTTACCTTGGAGACCCCAAATACTTTCTTGTTTAAAGTCCTTCACATACAGCCAATCCTGAGTTGTATGTACTCCAAAGCCTGAGTACTCCGCAGGCACACTCACTCTCCTTAAATATCTCATATATTGTTTCCCTGGGTGGCTTTAGAAATTAGCATTATTAGTATAGTCATTTTTCATATACACAGCTCTACACTAACAGGCATATGAAGCCCAAGAGATGTTCCCAATACTCAGACATTCCTATACCTCCATAGATAAGACAACTAAGCCTGTATTATCCTTTATACTCAACACTGAAACTATTTAGAAGGTAATGTGAAAGGCTGTGTGACTTGGTGAACACAACAAGGAGATGGGGTAAAGAAAAGGCTCACAGAGAATCTAAGACTAACAGAGGAAAGGAGTGAATGATAGCTTAAGTGACTGTAAGTTACCAACAGTAAATCTTAAAAGCCACCAAGCAAGGTCAGAATACACAAAATCCTTAACTTTTAAAGTTGTTCAAGGTAGAATTTTGGAATTCAGTACCAAGAATTAAGCCATATGTATCATAGCCACTATCTTTATGCATGGGTCTAGATTTATGAAAGAAGGAAGGCTTAAAGATTCACAGAACTGAACTCATCTATCTTTAGCGAACTAAAATGCTTTTAAGTGAAAGTTAATGGTTCTAAAGAAGATCAGAATTATTTTGGTTCTTAGAGCTGCAATTTCACCTTGAACTACTGGGTAACATTTTCCTTTTGGTTCCCCGGTAGGCATCTTCCATCTGTTTCTCCAGTTCTCTTATTTTCCACATATCTGACTCCTCCTGAATCTACATTTTTTTTAAAGAAAAGAAATACAAATAAATGACTAAAAATAACATTTTACATCAAAGAAAAGTAACTGACAAAACACTCTGCACTAATTATTGCATTACAGATTGGGTTATAACCAGGAACCTGGGAAACAAATTCAGGATTTCTAGAGTGGTTAAATAATCCGACCCAGTGAATCTCAAATGTTCTGCAGCCACACGAGAACTTTTTAACCCCGCACAGACACACCTATCACCTTACTAATTTTGCAATTATGCCGCAATTATCAAATGATAATCCTTTCTGTTTCAATTAGTCACCAAGTTCTTGGGATTCTATCTCCTAAATTCCTCTTCATCCCTACAGTCACTGTTTTCATGCGAACGGCTCATCATCTCTCACCTGTAGCACTGCAATTGCCTAACTGGTGTCTCTATTATTTCACTCCATCTGATCTATCCCCTACCCAGCTAACTAATCGTCTAAGATACAAATACAAATTAAAGACTTTGATGGTTTCATTATAATTTAGAGGAAAAAGCATCACAAGCCAACTCTAACTTACCACTCAAGCTTTATCTTCCATCACTACCCCATGTACCCGCCCCCCCCACTCCCTACTTTCTGAATGCACAGTTTATTGCCAAGCCCCAAGTGCTTCATGCTCCTTTTTGTTGCCATGTGAGTACATGATGTTCCTTCTGTCTGGAATGATCTTTTACACATGGTAAAGTTTAACCTGTTAAACGAGAACTAATTCAAATATCATCAGCAGCTCAAATACCACCCATTCTATGAAGCCTTTCCTTATTTCCCAAGACAGATTTCATTATTCATTCCTCAGTGCACTGAAGCACTTTGTGTATGTCTCTATTACAGTACTTATCAAATTGATTATAATTACCAATTTTATTCACCTTTCTATCTCCAAACTGCCAAAATAATGCTTGGCACACTGTATGCCTTCAATAAATGTTGAGTAATAACCAGATTGTACCTCTTACCTTATTGTGAGCATCTGTATGCCGGATGACATTCCTCAGGAGGACTTTCCCCAGTGGAACCCGGGACATTCTTCAATCTGAAATTAATCAAGACATAACACTTAATAAAAATAATTCCCTTTATTACCTTCTCTTTTATTACAATATTATAAGGAAGCACGAGGTAAAGAAAAGATCACTGAACAAGAAGTCAGAAGTCCTAAGGGGTAGTTTTCCCTTTACCATTAAAAGAAGAAAAATGTCTGACCACACTAATATGAAGATGAATGTAACTGAGATAAATGTACGTCGAAGTTCTTTTAAACTGCACAAAGTTATGTGCTTTCAAGAGCACCATTTTATTTAATCTTCAACACAATCCCATGTTTTATATGAGGCAAGCATCTTCATTCTTATTTTGTAGGTGAAATTCCCTTAAGCCATAACTTGCCCCAGGCCAGATTGCCCAAGGCAAACCAGGTGCAGATTAGAAATCAACTGTGGAATCCCCAAATCAGTTCGTCATGAAGCAAATATCTAGATTTGAGACTATCAGGGACCAGCAAATGTCAACATTTGACATCAAATGCAGAGAGGCCCTAAATTTCTCCACTCAGGAGAATTTTACTTTCTAATTTGTACAGAAGCCTCCAAAATACAGATGACAAGGGTATCCAGTGTGTAGCTAGCAGCGGTTTTGTGCAACCACCCCACCGCTCACTCACCCCTCGATCCTGAGGAAATCAGGCATCTTGCTAGTGTGAGACGAAGAACCACTCCATTACAAGATCTCCTCCGACCCAGGAAGCCAAGGAGTCAGGGCTCAAAGGCAGCTCTGCAGCTTCACCCGAGTCCTTCGTGAAAACGCAGCCTTCCCACCGGTTATTCTGCCCTCACCCGCGGCCCAGGCCACCGCTGCCTTGCCCCCAGCCCAGACCGACAGGAAGATCTCTTTCCGGACTGAGGCCGGAGTCTGCGCCGGCGCGGAATCCGGAGGGCCGGGTTGACGGGGCATTCCCCGCTCACGCTCCTCTGGGACGGACCCGGGGGTTGGGCTTCACTCTCCCGAAAGGATGGGGAGGCTCTGGACGGGTACAATCCTCGACTGGACCCCAAGAAATACCTAGAGTGCCCGAAGGGGGGGTTGAAGCTTCCAAGGGGAAGTCAGAGAAAACACCCCCATCTCTGTCACCGGGATCCCTGCCCCCCAGCGGCCACGGAGCTCCCGGTAACCTTCCCTCCAAACGCCCTCCCCATACAGACACACACAAACACACCCATACCGTGCGCCGCAGCCTCGCGTGGCGGGGATTTGGGGAGGGGGGAGGGGGAGGTCTGGGAGACAAGGGAGCGGACTTCCGTTCCAGGCCGGAAGTCGTGCTCCTGAGAAACTCTTCCCACCAACAGGAGACGCGGAGACTCCCACAAGGAGAGTTTCCAGGATCCTCTAGAGATCGAAAGGTGCGGAAGGGAGGCGGGCGCCTTCCTGGAAAAGAAGTGGGTCGGGCTCAACTGAAAAGCAAGAAGGAGGAGATTCCGGAACTAGATGTAAAAGTCCTTTCTGCCTGGAGCTTTCCGGACCCAATTAGATGTTGGACCCGGTCTGGTTACCCTGGTAACAGGTGTCGCTGTTTGTCAAGGAACCGAGAGAGGAGGTGGGTTCGCCGACCTCTGGAGTGATTGTCCTTTAGTTAAGCTTCCCATTTAGTATAACCCTACTAAAAAAAGAAAAAAAAATAGTTTAACCCTACTATAGTATTCGGAGAACCCAAACCTCCTCTTTGCCTCATTCTGTGGCTGCTGTGGGACGCCTCTCCAGTGGGGGAGGAGGGCAAGGGAGGTGATCTCTAGACACAGATGGTGTATTATTACTCTCATACAGTGTTAACGAAGTGTCCCAGTTTCTCCATATTAATTAATTCTCACAATAACCTATGACATAGGTATTACCGTCATTTTGAGGAGAATTAACTGATGTATATAACCTAATTGCTCAGGGTCACACACCTAAGTTAAGTGATAAAGCTAAAATGGGATCTAGGCATTCCGGCTCCAGCTTTGCCTAAGCTGGAGGAAGCTATGAGGATGTCTCCTGTGGCCCTCACCCCACACACACCTCTGGCAGTTTCAGGACTGGATAGGCACCGGTCAGCCAAAACCCAGGTATTGGAACAAGAAAATCACCCGTAATCCAGACTTTCAATGACTACCCTCAGCACTTGAGAGGGTCTAGGCAGAGGTAAGGACTTGATATCTGAGACGACAACCTGAGAACTTTAAGAAGGGGTGCTAGATAATTAGAGAATAAGGAAAAGAAAAGTGGTGCTGATCCACAATTTGTTAGACACAGGTGCTGACTTCACCCAAACAAGACCTGTTCTTCCTCCTCCAAAAGAAGAAATGAATCACTACACAGACCTTTTTCCCCTTAAGTCATATCTTTCCACAGACTTAAGAGGCCTATTCACCTCAATCATGGAGTCTTCCTCAAAGGGTCTGCTCACCCAAGTTACTCAGTTCTGGAACCTCCTAGACGATCTGGCTGAAAGCAACCCTGAGGGCTACGAGAAGTTTATTCAACGGCAGCTGAAAGAAGGAGAGCAGCTCTGTGCCGCCCCAGAACCATGGCTCTGTCTACAAACCAGGATCCTGGTACGTAGAGTTGGTTCCCAGGGATGGGAGGTCTTGACTGAAATAATCCTGGAATAATCAGACAATAACTTACCTTTAGCTATTGCGACTTTAAGAAAACTCGACGGAAACTACCACTCTAAATGGAGAGTGAAACAGTGTGGAGGATCATGCTGAAGGAGTAAGAGTGGGAGGTTCCCACTGGATACATTTTGGAGATCTCACAATAAGCCATTTTCTACTAGAATAAAAAAAAGTAAAATGATTTAACAGAGAATCATAGAGTTGGAGGTTTTTCACCTAAAAAGAACTTAGTTGGGGCGCCTGGGTGGCGCAGTCGGTTAAGCGTCCAACTTCAACCAGGTCACGATCTCGCGGTCCGTGAGTTCGAGCCCCGCGTCCGGCTCTGGGCTGATGGCTCAGAGCCTGGAGCCTGTTTCTGATTCTGTGTCTCCCTCTCTCTCTGTCCCTCCCCCGTTCATGCTCTGTCTCTCTCTGTCCCAAAAATAAATAAAAAACGTTGAAAAAAAATTAAAAAAAAAAAAAAAGAACTTAGTTGGCTGAGAGGTAAGGAAGTGGTGAAATAAGGTCAAATTCACCTGGAATAGCTGCTTGGATCAGTGCCCCCTCCTTCCTCCCAGTTCCTCTGGCAGTGGCAGCTGTATATGGAAGGAAAGTCGGTAGCTTGGAGGAAATCAGGTAACAGTACAATTTCTCAGACACAGTTTTATTTTTTTTATGGTGAAAAATTTAGATTTAGCTAGCTGGACTCAGTTTAGATGATCCCAATTTTGTTGGCAGCATCCAAAGCATCATAGTCAGGAGCCAGTCGAACATATGCTTTCTTTTCCCCATCGGGCCTGATCAGGGTGTTGACCTTGGCCACGTCAGTGTCATAGAGCTTCTTCACAGCCTGTTTGATCTGGTGCTTGTTGGCCTTGACATCCCCAACGAACACAAGTGTGTTGTTTTCTGTTTTCTTCATGGCTGGCTCAGTAGTCACGGGGAAAGACTGGTCAAGCTTGTTTCTCCTGGGGGCTCTGTTAACGAGGATATTCCGGTTGCCTTTGGAGACGCGGTGTCTTGAGCCATTGGAATGTAGGTGATGTGCAGATCTCCTTTGTTTTAATGCCCCTGGATGTACTGCTTTCTTGGCCTTCAAAGCCTTTACTTTGGCCTCCGCATTGGGAGGGGCAGGGGCTTCCTTCTTCGCCTTAGGTGCCATCTTCGTGAAAGGGCTCAAACACAGTTTTAATACACAGAACGGCTATTTTGGAGCATAAAATTATCTGAGTTACCTTTAGGCTATGATTAAAAAAAAACAACTAGGTTTTGAGATATGAAAAATTATTTGCTTTTTAGAAACCAAAGGAAAAAATACTTTTCATCAACCTGTGTCAGTGGAAAAGGATCCCAGCTCCCCAGTCAAACACTCATCCAGTACCTCTAAGTATTGGCAGACCAGAAGATAGGTCTGAGACATCAGGTACATAGAATTATGGGAGATTAAGCATATTTTAAAAACTTTATTGGGAATAAGCATGTACCAGATTTTACTTGGTAAAAGGCAGTATAAGTAAAATATTTTATTTGGTTGTAATGTAGTTAATAACTAATAAGCACTTTTATTTATATAAATGTGGTTCAATTTTTCTAATAATAATCCATATAAAATGCCCAGAAATGCCCTAATGGAAAATTTGTGTATATAGCAACTGTGTGATTACCTCTGAAAAATACAGGAGTACTTTATACTTTCTAGTTTTATCAGGATTATGGCTTAATAAATTAACTGACAGTACCATTAGCGAAATGAGTTGTCTTCATTTCACACCTTCTGAATTACACACACAGATGTTTATACAGTCATCGATGTGGCCTACAATCCTGATGTTCTCCAGGCAGCAGAAAAGGACCAAGTGAAAAAAGATCAATTAATACAGATGGCCATGAAATGCATTGAGGAAAAACTCCAATTCACTCTCTCACACTCTTACAGCATTACTAACTTTAGAATAAAAGGAAGCATTCAAAGGATGAAACAAAATCTGTTGAGAATGCAAACTGACCCCACAGATTTAAGAGAGAAAATGAAAAAGGGTAAGTTAAGAAATGTAAGTGGAAAATTTAACTGATTTAAAATTGTTTTTGCATCCTGTGTACATTTTGCAAACTAGAAATCTTGATTTTAAAAGAGAAACTTAAGATAGAAAAATAGAAAGACTGGGCATTAGAAATATTAGCATGTCCTTAAAGATTTTTCAGTACTGCAAACTTTTTAACTAAGTTCTTTGGTTTAAGATTCCCAAACTAATTTAGCTTCAGCTTTATCTGTCATTTTGGCTAACACCACACACACTAAAGCTCATAGTATTTTATGTTGTTGATTAATTTTTTTTAATTTCATCTCCCCCCCCCCACGCCTTTTATTTTCCTGAAGAACTAACCCTTGAACAGATAAGTAGTACTGTGAGCAATCCAGACGACTTCCAACTTTTATTGCCAAAAGATGAAGTTTCAAGCAAAACAAGGTGTCTGATAGAGGAGATTTCCAGTACAGAGAGCCAGGTAGAGATGAAGGAACCAGCCTATGAATTAAAAATTGTGGCTGATCAGAATGAGAAACCTCTGAAAATTGAAATAAAAGTTGAATTACCTGGTATTAATTCCGCATCTCTCTGTGACCTTAGTGTTTCTGAGGTAAGTCGAGTAGGTAATACTATAAATTTGTGTCAGTCAACATTTACTATAATGCGCTCTAGTAACAAACTGCACAATCTCAGTGGTTTACAGCAGTTTACTCAGCTTACATGTCGCCTAGGCCTCTGCTCCAGGGTCTTGCACATTTCAAGATACAGGTGAAGGGGTAGGTCCCATCTGAGATATGCCATTCTCATGGAAGAGGGAAAATACAAACGGGTAACTCATGCAATGGCTCCTAAAACTTTCTCTCAGACATAGCATATATCACTTTTACTCCACATTCTGTTGGCCAAACTCAGGTCACAAGGCCAAATCCTACATCAATAGGGCTAGTAAGAATATTCTCACAGGAATTCAAATGGCAAGGATGTATAATCCTCTAACAAGAGAAATAATTGGTTGAAAATAAAACTTAGTCCTATTTCTCAGTCCTGACGTTGTAGAATTCCTGGGCTCTGTATATTCTCTTTTAATCCTACTTACAAACTGGGAAATTCTTTTCTCAGCTCATCTCTTTTTGTAGTAGCTTATTAAATGTAGCCAGTAAGACTAATGCATGCTACCAACATTCTATTTTCACACTTCTTTACCTAAAGACACAAACCAGGTACACGTTACTTGTCTTTCAAATTATTGTGATAGTTTTACTAAGGCCTTTATCATCACTGTTAAAACCTGGATCACCGTTTTTCCTATCGCTGATAAATTTTCCTTGCTGTTTCCTGGTCAGTCACAAAGTCAATGCCACATAATCTGGGGACAGCAACAGCTGTTTTATGGCACCATAGCAGTGAACTTTTGATGTATTGAGGAGCAATAACAAATAATCCCAAAACCTCAGGGAGCTACAACAGCAACTTTACAGTTTATTGCCAAGTCACATGGCAGTAAATGGGATCCTCATTTTATGAGAAAGGTATGAATAACTGGGAATAATCCCCAGTAACACATATTTTAACCAAGAAATCCTTTCTATTTTCATCTTTGTTATTCTTAGGATGACTTATTGATTGAGGTCCCTGAGAAGTACAGATTATATCTGAATCTTCCAGAATCTGTGGATACTGAAATGACTACAGCAAAATTTATCAAAGAGAAAGCTACATTAGTCATCATAATGCCACTGGTGTAAGTCAAGAGCATCATCTCCTTTTGGGTTTTCAGTGCTACAGGCATGTGAAGGATAGGACCTTCATTATGGGTGAAGAGGTAGTGGTTTATCTTCAATACTGGTTTCATGTTTCCTAAGAGTTCTTTTGGATGAAATGAGATTTTCTCATCATGTTTATACTTTTTTTTAACTCCCCTCACACTTGGCTAGAAGCAGAAACTATTAAAACAGTATTGCTATACTTGTTTTGAAGCTATTTCTAATGGTCTTAAAAGTAACAAACTTGTCATTTAGGAAAATCCTGTTTCCAAGTAAATTGTGAGAATTCCTGGTTTACTGGTTGAAATTCTGGTCTACTTGTTTTTCTGGTCTCTAGTAAATGTTTGCATCAGGAAGAAATCCCAGACTATGTAAATTTTTTACTACCAAGAACTGAAGCAGTTCCTCCAGCTATAAAGATACAGGGCCAATGTCAAAATATGCAAACCTATGCTTCTGTGAACCTCTGTACTTCTATAAAATAGCCCTGATGGTAGGAGTGCAAGCTACTCAGACCTTTTAACATCAAAAGGACTTGTCTTGGATACAGTGATGCAGTAACAGCAGCTGGGTGTTACTGCACCTAAGATGCAAAATAATCTAACCTTAAGAAAAAGGAGCTGACTTCGGGACATGTGCCTTTCTCCTAAGAAGATAATTTTAAGCGGCACCTAGGTGGCTCAGCCGGTTAAGCATCTGACTGGATTTCGGCTCAGGTCATGATCTCACGGTTCAGGAGATCTGCACTGATAATGCAGAGCCTGCTTGGGATTCTCTTTCTCCCTCTCTCTGCCCCTTTGTCCCCAAATAAACATAAAAAATGATTTTAAGACAGAAGTGATGTTTCTCAACTTCCATGCATCTAAGTTGTCATATGGTTGTTCAACACAAAGATACTAACTTTCCAATTTATAGCCCAACAATGTTCACATCAAACTTTAAACATCCTTGATCATCTTGTATAAATACATCTTCCTTGTAAGTTTCTAGTTCGACATAAGGTCTTTAAAGTCCTGGTTAATTTTAAAGCTTTTTATTTATTTATTTTTAAGTATTTTTCTTAGTAATCTCTACACCCAACGTGGGGCTTGAACTCACAAGAACAAGAGTCACATGCTCTTCTGACTGAACCAGCCAGGCGCCTCTAAAGCTTTTTAACTTTACACACTAATAAAGTGTCAGGGCACCTGGGTGGCTCAGTAGGTTAAGTGTCCACCTCTTTCTTGGTTTTGGCTCAGTTCATAAGCTCAGTTTGTGTGTTCAAGCCCTATATGGGGCTCTGTGCTGACAGTGCGGAGACTGCTTGGAAGTCTCTCTCTGTCCCCTCTGTTTCTGCCCCTCCCCTGCTCGCTCTCAAAAATAAATTTAATAATAAAAACACAAATATAGTATATGTAATATAAACAGTTGATACCGTGATATTTAAAAACAAATATAATTCTCCTAAACCTGGTTGTATTTGAATTCTCCCAGCAATAGGATAATTTACTGTCTGAAAATTTTCTAGAGCTGTATAATATGATGTCCTAAAGTTAACACACCTAGTATATTTCCATCCTTCAAAAAAAGTTGGAATGCTTCCCACCTTACCTTTCCATATCATCTCTCCGGCTGGTTAACTTTTTTTTTCAGACCAGGCCTGGGGTTCCTGTAACTTCACTCACAAACCTCAGGATCGGTGTCAACTATCTAACAGGGCCAGACTATGCTTTCACCTTGCTATGTGCTGCACCCCACCACAAGGTGCTTTAGAACTCCTTGAGCTTGAAGTGTTAGATTATATTCTGCTAAACTCAGTCCTTTATTTTACCAATACTGTATGCTTAAAATGTGTTGCTATTGAGTGTACACATACATAGCTATCCCTGGCCTTAATCATTTAATGTGAAAAATAATTACCAACAGATCAAAAATTAGACAAGACGCATTGAAAACATATAGTTTAATTTTTAAATAATTTCAACCAAAACTTTTAACTTTTTTTCTTTCAATTTTGGTAAGAGAAATAGACTGAGTCCAGATTTAGGTTATAGCTCAGATTAATTTTTAACTCAGTAATTCTTATGAGAAGACAACCTTTTATTTTTCTTTCAAGGGAACAACAGAGCCATAAGCATTTGCCAAGAATGAATTATCTTTGAAGTTTCATGTATTTGAACCAGATGTGCCTCATACTGATGGTCCCTTGTGATAAACTTGTTCCTTCTGCATAATCTTCAATTCAAGCTAACATTACTAATTACTGAAAAATCAGATTAATGAATTGTTTTCATAATAATACAGCAAGGGAAATATTTCTGGAATATATGCAGTGTTACTTGTGCACCATGTAACAAAGAACATTTAGAAATAAATTCAACACCAAAAGACCTAAATTTCGGGGATTGTTCCACATATACACAAGAAAACACTGATCAGATTGATTTTAAATTATCATAAACAATTCTAAATATTTATTAAAACATCAATTCAATAGAAAGTCTGGAATTGTGATAATGTTCCCAGTTCATTTTTATTATCCTGAATATCACCTCCTACTCTTCCCCCCCACAAGAAGAAAGGCAAATCATAACAAAATGGAAAAAAAAAATGTTTAGGCTGATCGGGTAGCAAGCAACCTAAACAATTTTTTTTTTCTCTCCAATAGGATTTTAGGACTTTCATATTGTACATGAGACAACACTGGGTGGAAAAACACAGAACACTTTTTTTTGTACACACTGAACATTTCTTACTTTATCCAAGTAGAAGTGACCACTTGGCTTCTAACCTTTCAGCACTCCCAACTGCTTACCAGTGTATCTCTTCCCTCTTCTTTTCAGACAGGTCTTGGTGATAAATGGACTTTGGCACACATCTCACTAGAAACCATATTTTACATATGTACACTATTCCATAGTTACTTGATATAATTTTCCAATATTATTTGAGTAACAGATTCTGGCAATTAAGTTCATTTGTCAGTAACCACCAGTTAATCATGGAGGAAGAATTCTACTTTCACAACTTCTCTCTGTTAAATTCTATAAGCATATTCTTTTATTTGGAATTAATTGTAAATTCTGCTCTCAGAATTACACATGTAAGTTGTTTAAATAAATACCCACACAAATTCTCATTTATACCAAGTAGCTGGTTTATATTTATATCTTCCATCTTAAGAGGTGAAAACAACCATTTTGGAATTCATAGAAAAATAAACAAAGAACACTCAGTTGCAGAAGTGTAAGAAAATGTTAACTTTTAAAATGTCACTTATTTTCCTTAAAGTTCTCTACCCTTCCCATCCACGATAAACCAAGATCATGTAACAGGGTTAAATTCCAAAATCAATCTTTAATTCAAACCCTTTCTCTAAGAGAAAGGACTTCTCTCTTTCCTTGACTTCTCTTTCCCTCAAATGAAGCAAAACATGAGGCAATTAAATTTCAAAACCTCAAGGTTTCATCCAGATTACTTTTATGTATCTGTTTCAGTAGGGAACCACAATTCTACCCCTGCATTTCCCAGTGGAAGTACTTCTCACCAAAGGGCTAGGCCACATGTTCTCTTGACTAGGAATACACAGCTCAAAATCTGTTGTTTATTAAATGTGTACAATATGTAGGTGTAATTGGCATTTTAAAAAATTCAGTAATGCCCATTACAAATAACTTATCTGGACAGACTCAAAAATAACTGGTTAACTTCAAAATAAAAAGAACCACTTGCATAATAACATATTTGTATCTTGATAAGAATGAACCACTGTGACCTGGGAGAGTCTAGAAATTCTTGGGTTAATTATAACAACATGGTGATAGGTTTTTCAAGGTACTTTCTAAACTCAGCAAGCCACTGGGCTCCAACTGCTCCATCCACAACCCGATGGTCACAACTGAGTGTAACAGACATCATGCTAGCCACATCAAATCTAGAAAAAGATAAAAACATTATTAGGTATTCTGAAAGCAATTGCTAATTTTTAGCCAGTAACCAGCCCAAATGCCAACTCCTACCCTGTAATTCCAACCAGATACTATTATTTTCCACTTACTCGTTATGTAGTATACACCTCTAGCTCAACCTCCAGCTTGACAGACCAAACAGCCATCTGGAGCATGGGTTGGCAAACTACAGCTCACAGACCAAATCCCGCCAAATGCATTTACGTAGTGCCTCTGTCTGCTTTCACACTACCACGTCAGAGTATTTGCAACAGAGACCATATGACTCAGAAAACCTAAAAGATTTACAACCCGGCTCCACAAAAACATATGCTGATCCCTGACCTGTGATAACTCAGCCTTCCCATCTCATATAGGATTAACTGCACTTAGTAAAAGAAGAATTGCTGCTCTGAGAAACTTCATTCTAGACTTGTATCTGACTCTACCTGAAGCTCCAACAGGCTATGCCAATAATTATAAAACTGAGACTCAAAAACAGGCATAATGGAATGAAAATGAGCTTACAACTCCCTCTTTATTTTGGTACTTACCCTTTTTCATTATCTGCTGGAACCAGTCTATCCTCTGAAGCACCAATCGCCAAAATACATGCTTGAGGTGGGTTAATAATAGCAGAGAAGTTCTTAATTCCAAACATCCCTAAATTAGATATTGTAAAAGTACCACCCTAGAAGAAAAGAGATTAAAAATAGATGTTAATTGCTTCTCAACATAAAAAAAAAGACAAAATGTTACATGAAAAGACCTTAAGATCATCTTTAAGAAAGGCCTATGAACTACCATTTAAAAAAAAAAGGAAAGGAAAATGGTAAGCGCATGAATACACATATCAGAACATCAAGTTGTGCAACCTAAATGTATATAATTCTTATTTGCTATTTTTTTTTTTAATTTTTTTTCAACGTTTATTTTTGAGACAGAGAGAGACAGAGCATGAATGGGGGAGGGTCAGAGAGAGGGAGACACAGAATCCGAAACAGGCTCCAGGCTCTAAGCTGTAAGCACAGAGCCCGACGCGGGGCTCAAACTCACGGACGGTGAGATCATGACCTGAGCCGAAGTCAGCTGCTTAACCGACTGAGCCACCCAGGTGCCCCTCTTATTTGCTATTTAAATACAACAATAAAGCTGAAAGTGGGGAAAAAGGCCTGAATGGAATACACTTTAATGAAAATATACAAGCATTACAATATGAACAAAAGTCAGTTGTGTGCCTTTTGAAAATTGCTGGAAAATTTCTTATTTTCAGCTTCTGATAGGTTATTCACTTTTTATTTTCAGGGCCTTGTGTCCATGAGAATACAAGGCATAATCAAAAGGTGGAAAATGCAATAAAAGCATTATGCTGCCCTTAAAAATAACGTAATTCTTAACATTCAGAAGGTAAATAAGTAATACTGTACCTGGAACTCATGAGGCTGGAGTTTACCCTCTCGTGCTTTGGTTGCTAAAGAAACAACATCATTAGCAATGGCTTCCAGTCCTTTTATATGTGCATTAAATACAATAGGTGTAATGAGTCCTGCAGGAGTGCTGACTGCAACACTGATATCGACTACATGATTTCTATTGCAAAAGAAAAAAGAAAAGGACACTTCAATAATCATCAACAATATTAAGAGCTTATGTGTCAGGTTAAGCAAGAATATTGATATTTATCTCAGTCTGGCCTACTGTTCAGCCAGAGAGATATCTCTTCTGGTGTTTACATTTTGCTATGCCCTTTCCCTAACTTGGACTTTTTGCAAATGGACAAGAAATGGGGTTGGTTACACATAACCTCCAACTGCCTCCCACTTGCCTTGACTGGCAGGTGGAAAATGCCCAGCATTCAGTGAGAATTAAACAAGAACTCAAAGAACTCCCTGGATTTTGAGATGCAGTGGACTGGCTGGAGCCGAGCCTCCAGGCAGAGCTTGAGCAGATGGAAGGAAGAGTGGAGGGAGTGTACTGCACCATGGGAGAATCAGAGCTCAGGATGTAGGATGGTGGTGTCTCAGGACAGAAAAATAGGATTCCCAATCTGTATTATGCCACAGGTACCTTTGCATCTGTGTCCTTTCTCAGAGTATGTATTTTTAACAAAGAAAATAAAATACTCAAATTACAAATAACAAAAAAACACAACCAAACAAAAAGCCCCAACTATACGGAAATTCAATTACCAAACTATTCAAAAAACAAAACTGCGGGTGCCTGGGTGGCTCAGTCGGTTAAGCTTCCGACTTCGGCTCAGGTCATGATATCATGGTTTAGGGGTTTGAGCCCCAGCTCAGGCTCACTGCTGTCAGTCTGTCAGTGCAGAGCCTGGAGCCTACTTCAGATTCTGTCTCCCTCCCTCTCTGCCCCTCTCCTACTTGAGCTCTGTCTCTGTCTCTCAAAAATAAATAAACATTAAAACATTTTTTAAAAATTGTGACACGTGCTTCTGTATTAATAAGATCAGGCAAGAGGTCTAATTGCTACAATTTTGAAGCAGTGATAAGCAAAAACCACTTTTAAGACTCCTGCAACAAAGCTGTGATATGAAAATAGGTGATTTTTACTGGTCACCAGCACAAGTACTGTTAATACCTCTTTGATTTGTTCTCTACATTTACGGTAAGAGGAAATGCCAAATTTCAGTTAGAGGTTAGTGGAAAGGAATGACTTTTTCCCCCTCAGCCAAGTTCCCAAACTCCCAAATTGTATCCACAGCCTCCTTGGGGTCTGTGTAAGGGCCCGTGCTGATGTATTCTGCAATTGAGAAAAAGTTAAAACTTCACAGGAAGAACTCCAGCTACTTCTAGGCACAAGCTTTAGAATATTATGGTATGGTACCAAATCCCTCAAAGTGCCCAAGCTGAGCCCTCAAAGTGCCCAAGCTGAGCAGGGCAGTGGGATTGTCACTTGTAAACATAAGAATGTGCTCTAATGATAGTGTGTGACTATCACAACTGGGCTCTAGCCAAGGAATGACATAACGAACACTCCTTTCTTAACTACCCTGTCCTAAGCGAGTAAGCATGGTGTTTCTCACCTTGTTCACTGATGAATATAGCCAACAGTACATGTTCAATAAATATCTGTTGAATGGCTATGTAAACAAACAGATGAAGGGCATTTGGTAGGAATCAATGAACAATTCATAGAACTTGCCCTGTAGCCTTGATCTGTTCTTCAAAGAAGTGTTTTCTTCAAATACTCTTAAAATGTGAAACATTAATTTACCCTATGACCCAGCAATTCTACTCCAAGGAATGAACCCAAGAAAAATAAAAATGTAGGTCAACACAAAGAATTATACACATATGTTCATAACAGCTCTCTAGAAGATACATCTTTGTCTTAATCCCAGAATCTATCAATGTGATCTTATTTAGTAAAAAAGATCTTTGCAGATTTAATTAGGATCTTGAGATGAAATCATCCTGGATTATCTGGGTGGGCCCTAAATCCAATGCCAAGTACCCTTGTAAGAGACAGAAGAGAAGACATGGACACAGAGGAGAAGGCCATGTGAGGATGCAGGCAGAGGTTAGAGTTATGCAGCCACAAGCCAAGGAATGCCCAGAGCCACCAAAACTGGAAAAAACAAGGGAAGATTCTCCCCTAGAGCCTATGGAGGGAGTGCAGCCTTGCTAACACCTTACTTTTGGACTTTTGGCCTTCAGAACTATGAGAGAATAAATTTTTCTTTTAAGCCACCAATTTTGTAGTCATTTGTAACAGAAGCCCTAGAAAACTAATATAGTCTATAAGGTATAGCAAGACCCTCAGATGTCCTCCCAGAGGGGGATGGCCAAGGAAAAAGCATGAGTAGGTTACTGTGACATCTGACAGGACTGAAAAATGGCTTAGAGTTCTCCTGGGAACTTTCAGAAAGAACTGATGGTGAGTACATAGAAAACTAGCTCCTTTTTAGGGAACCATTAAGATCAGCCTGGTCACTATTCACAGCATATTACATCTCTTAGTCATAAATAATATTTTTATGGGCATAAAAATATTAATACTGAATACTGATTTATCCAATATTTGTGCTGTAATCAATTTGATAGGATAATGGTGTGTGTGTGTGTGTGTGTGTGTGTGTGTGTGTGTGTGTGTGTATACGGAAAGTATAACAAAGCTAAATCTCAGCCTTCCTTAATACCAATAAGTTGATAAAAAAAATGAAAAACCCATAAAAGGCAAATGAACAATGTTTTTTAGAAATACAA